TAGAAAAATGCTGTTTTATGATAAGAAACTAATGAAAATCATAAGGCAAGTAGAAATTTTCCCCCAATTATTTTCACAGAACTTATTTCATCCTGAAATATTATTCCCTGATTTCTTTGTCCACTAGAATTCCAAAATATACATGTGTGACCTTCTTTTAAGCCCTATATAACTCTTTATAGTGAACTTAGTTGTTCCCATATGCCTAGCAATTTGATTATTTGACATTTTAGAGTGTATTTTTCTCTTACTTTTCTATAAGAGAACTCACATCTTAGTCCCGTTTGCTTTCCCAATGCTTTGCGTGCCTGGCATGTATAAGATCCCAGATGATAATTACCAAAAATATGGATGGAAAAATAAAACCTTATCTCACAATAATCCTGTGAGTTTAATAAGCATCATAGCAGTCACATCACAAAAACAGGTACCAAGGAACAATTCGACCAGCTAAATAATGGCAGTGCAGAGGCCAGAATTAATTTTTCTACTTTCTAGAACACTTCTCTTCCCATATCTCATATTGTATCAGAAAGAATATCCTGTGAGCCATTCTAAAGTAGGGCATGGCAATACATTCAAGTGCTTATGTGGTCTTTGGTTTCTCTAGCAGCTAGAATGAAGAGGCAATAACAGAAATAAGAAAGAGAAGGGAACCTGGAAAAGGGCTGAAGAAAAGTTGTTGTTTTAATTAAGATTGAAGAGATGGTAACATCCTGTGGGCTAAAGAGAATGATTTGGTGGAGATGGAGATATTAAAACGAGGAAGGAGAGAAAATAATCCAAGGAAAGGCAGAGAACGTGGGTACACATGCTGTACCTGGGTAGATGTGGTAGCAGGGGGTTGTGAATTCTGTCTGCTTTAATTTTTTTCAGTGACGTCAACATCAACGTCATTGGTTAAGAGAAATAATGGAAGACGTGATATGTAGGTTTGAAAATAAAGTAAAAAGTGCAAAAAAGAGTAAATGGACCAGAGAAATACAGAATGACTGTTGGGAAGCACTAAATATTCACTTGAGATCAGTAGTCATGAAGGTAAAGTTAGTCACATCAACATGTGATATGTTTTCTCCAAGTCCATTCACTGCTGGTATGGACTAGGTGGAGAATTGAATGTAACCAAGTCTGATTTCACCAAACGCATACAATGAAGTGAGAAGTTACCAGGTGTACCGGTTAATAATGCGGATTTTTTTCAATAGATGGAGTTACACATATGTTGATATATATGCGATTTGATATGTATGCTATTTTGTTGTATTGACAACAAGCTTCAAAACTTCATATGTCAAATTTGCTGAAGGTGTTAACATCATAGATATTTTTACACTTAAAAATGTCAAATTTTGTGCCAAAAAAAGAGCATTTGCAGAAAGTTATAATTCATTACTTTATTTTGAAGAAAAGTGCTGCTGAATACTTTGGGAAGCTTAGGGTGAACAGCTCCATCTCAAGATAGTTGTGAACGCTGGTTTAAATGCTTTAAAAGTGATGATTTCGATGAAAGACAAAGAACGTCCAGGTCAACTGAAAAAGTTTGAAGACCAATTACAAGCATTATTGGATTAAGATGTGTCAAACTCAAAACAACTTGCAGAAAGATTAAACGTTGCTCAGCAAACAATTTCCGATCGTTTACAAGCAATGGGAAAAATTTTAAAGGAAGGAAAATGGGTGCCACATCAACTGAACGAAAGACAATTGGAAATCCAGAAAGTCATCAGTAAAATGTTGCTTCAATGGCATGAAAGAAAGTCTTTTTTTGCATCGAATTGTGACTGGAGATGAAAAGTGGATTTATTTTGAGAATCCCAAATGCACAACATCATGGGTTGATCCAGGTCAACCATCAACATCGACTGCAAGGCCAAATCGCTTTGGAAAGAAGACAATGCTCTGCCTTTTGTGGGATCAGGAAGGTGTGGTGTATTATGAGCTTCTAAAACCAGGTGAAACTATTAATACTGATTGCTACCAACAACAAATAATCAATTTGAACCACACTTTGATTGTGAAACGACAAGAATGTGCCTGAAGACATGGCAAAGTAATTTTGCTTCATGATGACACACCACCACACACTTCAAAACCAGTTAAAGACACGTTAAAAGCTCTTGCTTGGGAACTATTAACCCCCCCGCTGTATTCACCAGACCTTGCTCCTTCAGATTATCACTTGTTCTGATCGATGGCACACGCACTGTCTGAGGAGCACTTCAAAACGTATGAAGAAGTGGAAAATTGGGTCTCTGAATGGTTTGTCAAGAAAAGTTCTATTGGGATGGTATCCACAAATTACCTGAAAGATGGGGGAAATGTGTAGCTAGCAATGGACATTACTTTAAATAAAGCACTTTTGATGTTTCTCTTAAAATTATCGTGTTTTCTTTGATTACAAAATCCGCTATTACTAATCGGTACACATAGTAAGGGACTATGGAAGAGTAAAATTACATTCAGTTACCACAGGAATTCAGCTGATTAGGTAGGGGGGTGCGCAGAGGGTGGCAGAAATAATACACAGAATTCAGGGGGGTAGTGGAATCAATGAATTGGAAATCCTGGTAGAACCAGTGGTGGAGTAAGGAAACAAAAAGAACACTGATAAGAGAGGAGGCTGTAATCAGCAAAAATGAGGTGCATGGAAGTCAGTTTATAGAGAAGTTGCAGATTCTGAAGATGCCTGGATCTAGGGTATGACCATGAGAATAAGCATCTCGGGAAGGATTAGAAGACAAGATCACTGAAGAGAAGGTCAGAATGTGCTGGTCATCCTCTCAGCATTGGTCACTGCTACACCCTCATCCAGAGGTCTCAGATCATGGAACTCGATGTATAGCTTACTAACCATCAGTGAGTACCATCTCCCTTCCACAAATTTCAAGTTTGTATTGAAAGAAATTTTCACTACAAATAATAATAGAAATTACACAATCAGATGAGCCTCATTTCAGCACTTATTTTATGTTTTAAAAATATATATTTTTATTGATTTCTGAGAGGAATAGAGAGGGAGAGAATGAAAGAACATCAGTGATGAGAGATAAGCATTGATCGGCTGCCTGCTGCATACCCCACACTGGGGATCAAGCCTTGACCTCCTGGTTCATAAGTTGACACTCAACCACTGAGACACACTGGCTGGGTGGTTTTCTTTCTTTTATTGTATTCCCACCTAAATCACAAACTCAAATCCATGATTCTATATAAATTAATTATTGCTACAAAATAATATACACACTTTCTAATATTATATTATGTTAAAGTCTAGTTTATATTTTACTTTTAAGTAGTATCCCATTAAAAGATCAAAACATTAAATAAATATATTAACCTGAAATATGAAAAAATAATCTAGTGGTAGACAAAATAAGAAATGAGAGAAAAATCAAATAGGGATTATTTATTTAATTAGAAATATATTAATTTCAGAAAAAAACAATGTTCCTTTATGAAACTCACATAAGATTAGTATCCAAACTGTACTAAAAGAATTTTCCCTTACAGGTTCGAACTCTAGTATTTTATAGGCATATTGATGACATTCATGAATGATTATTCATGAAGCATATGTATCTTCATGCCACACTAGGTTTAAAAAATATCTAGTTTCAATGTGGATATGCATCATCATTTTGCCCCTGGGGCTACTGGAGCTATGGGAAAGGCAACACTTCCCCCAAGTATTTGGAAAATCTACAAATTCCAACCCCATAGCTATGCTTTGGCATCACCATTTCTACCTTCCCCCTGCCATGGCCCTCTGTAATAGTCACACGAAACCTCTGATGCCTAAATGAGACCACTGGTGTTAATTCCAAAAGGAAACTTGGGATGCTGTGCTATTGTTGTTGTCAATACCCATTGGTGGGTATTGCAGTGATGGCTAATTCTTGCCAACATGTTTTAGGTCAGCCCAGGTAGGAGGTTTCTTAACCCCCAAATTTGTGATATGGTTACTTTCATGAGCTTCAGGGCAATACTCTGCATCCTTGGAGTACTACAGTAATATTTTAAATTAAGCAATTATTTCAGGTTTTTGCTTTGGAATAGAAAAGGGCTGAGCCAGAGATATTTTGGGATAACAGACATATCTCTACTCCCATGCATCCTTATGCTTAGTAACAGATAAAAATGTTCTTAAACTCTCTTTCCCCTTAGGAGCAGTATATTTTACTAAGAGCTTACTTAGTTACTCATGTACCAAATTATCTATAAAAATAAAAGTATAATATGCTAATTAGACCAGACATCCTTCTGGATGAAGCCAGGGATGCAAGGGAAGCCCGGGTCCCGGGTGCCAGAGGGAAGCCGGTGCTGGCAGCCAGGGGAAGGAAGGCCTACTCCTGCACGAATTTTGTGCATCAAGCCTCTAGTATGTAATAAAATTACACCAAAGGCCTTCCATATATGCTTAGGCTTATGGATCCTAGGAAAAGCATTAGACTAAAGTTGAGAATTCTGTTTTATACACTTAAGTATCTGACAAACTGTGTCTAGGGTATGTATATGTATTTGTTTTCTTACATTATTCATATATTTAAAAATATTTCTGTAATTAGATTTTTTCCATAACACACATTTGCAGTGTTCTCAACAGTACAGAACTGAAGATAGGGCAGGTTGTATTGGTCATAAAAAACGAACACTGGCACCTGATCCTCAATATTTTTAAAAAGTCTAAATATATCCAACGGCTGCCTTATTAACAATAGAACATTCTCTAGGTTTTCTCTTATTATATTCAATTTGACCAAAGGCAACAATTACTTAAAATACCAGGCCCTGAAAGCACTACTGTTTTCTACAGAAATCTTCACAAAGAGATCACCCTAAACAGAACAACCAAATACCTAAGAATCTGTGAAGCATGAGATGTACACAGTCCATTTACACTCAAGAGGAATAAGATAGCACAAATGTGATTTTAATAAAAGACTTAGGGAGATATTTCAAAAATTCTGGGGTTTGACCCACCCATCAATCAGGTTACTTACCAGATATCTCCTCAAGGCACTGCTTAGCCGTCTTGCTGTATGATAAATCCATCTTAGTAGGACTGGTACAGGAGTCAGCAGATGATAAAGAAGTACCTTCATTTTCTGAATGTGCTCTGAAATTAACCAAGAAGACAGAAACAAATAGCAATTGCTGTTACCAGGGACTCATTCAAGTTCTTTATTATAAGAAGTCGACATATAAAAGTTTCCTACAGAGGTAAGTAAGCCTTTCTTTATGACTGGGGCATTCCAAAGCTGTCTGAATATAGGAGAATTTCCCTGCCCCTCCCTGCTGACTTCTGAAGTCTACTGTATTCTATTCCACTTGGGCTTGTTTCTTGTGGGCCTCTGTGCCTTCCTTAGCCCGCTGTCTATAAAGGAAGGCGGGAAAGTCCTCTGAAGTTTTCTAGGATTTTTATTACTCGCTGAATAAGTTTAAATGGAGAGTATGTAATGAGATTAGAGACCCCAGGGAAAGCTTACTGGCTGCCTGCCAAGAAGCCTGGAGTCTTGGTGCCTTGGCGCACTGGCTGGGAGCCAGGGCTGGCTTAGAGTCATGCAGTCAGTATTCGCCGACTGATCTCACAGAAGCTGAGTCACATTAAGTGGTTCCCCGAGATGATGGCTGTCTAAGCCCAGTGCCAGCAATTCTTATCAGAACAAGACCCACGGCTGTCACAGGAGCCTGAGTGCTCGTGGCCACGCTGGTTATACACATTCACAGTATCTCCCTCTAGGAAAATCCGTATGGAGCAAAGGAGTATTCAGAATGTATTTTGGGAGTTGAGTTTTTGCTTTGCTCAAAAAAAAAAAAAAAAAGAAAGGAAAGAAAAAGAAAAAAACATCCTAAAGAGTATTCCTCAGGAGCTGACTGTGGCTATCTTCCCCTGTATATGAGACCTAGGACTCAATTCCATTGGCTGAGTCCTACATCCCCTGCCTGAGACGCTCCTTTATAAAAAGGATTCATGCTTCTGACAGCCCGGTCATGTCTTAGAAGCCATTGTTTTATTTTATTTTTAATGTGGCAGTGCATAGTTCTGGCTGATTCACCCTTTAATGTGATTTTGGTTTAAATCACAAGATATCATCTGATTTACCCTGTTTTTAACTTCTTTAGTGTATTTTCGATGGTATTCCCTATATGAGTTACCGACATTAGTGATGAAGAACATGGAAGAGGTAGACTTCAAATAATTACAAAAAGGACGTAGAAGTCATCTTTGATTTGTATACACATCTAAATGGACCCTGATCTCGGCTCTACACAGGTCACAGCCAACCGTTTCACCAGGACTTCTACCTCATTATTTGGAGTCAGGTTTTAACTCCCCTATCTAGAGGGACACTCATTGCTCACTGGTTAAGACGTAAAATTTATACACATGCTCAAAGAGGTTCAGTAGCTATCTGAACACTCCCCGCAGGTCTTCTGTTTGGGGTGTGCTTCATTCCAGTAAGATAAAAGGTGTGGGGATTGATTAAGGAAACAATTTATGAAGACTTCAGAATCAATGGTATTCTCTAATCATAAGGTGCACTTTGACATATTGCAGTGGTATCATTCACTGCTCTCACATAAACTGACACTGTAATTCCCTCATATTTGCTAGAAAAGAAAAGTGAGCATCATGATGGTCCTTCAAAATATTCAGCAGACGCAGGCATGCACATTTACGAGATGGCATTTATGAGATGGCCGGCATGTTACGAGTACCTATTGCAACCATAAGATGTAGCTTTGCGACAATTCCATTTAATTTAGTTAGAGTTCGAATAAGCCAGGCCCTTTGGGCTAGTGTCTGTTACTGAGTTGTAGTGGTTGAAAGTCTAGACTTCACCAACGATTAACACAAAAACTGTTTCCTGTTTATTTCCTGTGTATTTACTATGTGCCAAGTACTATGCCTAGTGTTTTACTTATGGCATGTCACTCACACTTCACAACCATCCTGCTGCTATGGTTAAATGATTCCCCCCCCCCCCCCGCGCCAAATTCATATGCTGAGACCTAATGAAATGGTATTTGGAGGTGCAGCCTTTGGGGTGTGCTTAGGTCATGCGAGTGGAGCCCTCATGAATGGGATTAGTTCCCTTATAAAACAGGCAATCAGAGGGCTCCCCTGTCCCTTCTGCCAGGTGAGAAGGACGTCATGGTGAGCCAGCAAGCAAGGCCTTCACCAGACACCAAATTTGCCAGCACTTGATCTTGGACTTCCCCAGCCTCCAAGAGAAATAAATGTTTGTTGTTTAAGCCAATCAGGACATAGAATTTTTGTTACAGTAGCCAGAATGTATTAGATACCTGCAATGTATGTGCCATGGATAAATTAAGGCCTCTAGAAGTTTAACGTTTTGCCCTACATAAGAAGCTGGTAGATACATAAGCTATACTTAAACCTGTAAATACTATTCTGTTAACCACTACCCTACAATTGAACTCCATCCAAATGCCTCTGGACACTGAGTATTTTATTACATTTCAGGTTCCCTTAGCTGAGAGTTAGCTCAGTCACGAAGTTAATAACAGACAATATTTGAATGTGACAATATCCACTAGTCTATACTAAATTTTAATCTTTATAACTTAAGTTTTACTGGTAAAAGAAAGAAATTATTAGTTAATGTGCCATTTAAAGGAACTCAGCAATAAATCCCAGATACTATCAATCTTCAAATTTTATATATATGGATTTATATATTGATTTATATTTTAAAAAATCTCCCTGTGGATTTGTCTTGATATGATTATCGTAATAAACGTTGGTACAATAGAACTAGTTTGAGTCAACAATATTAATGAATGGGCTTGTAGCTCCTGCTCCACAAACCTAACAAAATGGAATGAAAAGCAAACATCTTTCTAGAACCAGCAATAGGTGTGCTTTCTTCCCTCCTTCCTGGTGGAAGGCAGATAGATGACAGTCAGGGCCCAGGCCAGATATAATATTTATATACTAGAGGCCCGATGCATGAAATTCATGCAAGGGGCACGGCCCTTGCAGCTGCAGTGGCTGCCTCAGCCCTCACAGCCCCGGCTTCGTCCGGAAGGTTGATCGGAAGGTCATTTGGCTGTCTGGTCTAATTAGCATATTACTATTTTATTATTATAGATAGTAATAGATAATGAGATAAATCCTATATAATAAAAGCCTAATATGCTAAGTGTCCTGTCATCTGGTCGGCCATTCAACCAATCAAACTATAATATGCTAATGATATATTAAGGCCGCTCAACCGCTTGCTATGATGTGCACTGACCATCAGGGGGCAGACAGTCTACTGGTAGACCAGTTGCTATGACGTGCCCTGACCACCAGGGGGCAGATGCTCCAACCGGTAGGTTAGCTTGCTGCTGGGGTCTGGCTAATGGGGACTGAGTGAGATGGGCTGGACATGCCCTGGAACCCTCCCATGGTCCCTCCCTGGCAGGCCAACCTCCGGTGTCCCTCCCTGGCCCCAATTGTGCACTGGTGGGGTCCCTCGGCCTGGCCTGTGCCCTCTTGAAATCTGGGACCCCTCAGGAGAGGTCAGAGAGCCAGTTTCAGCCCAATCCCACAGGCCAGGCCAAGGGACCCCACTGGTGCATGAATTCATGCACCGGGCTTCTAGTAATGATATAAAGAAGTGTTGTGTGTGTGTGTGTGTGTGTGTGTATACCAACATATTATATACCAACATATTATTTATCCATTTAGAAAAAGTGAGGAGCAGTGAGGTCTTGGTTTCTGTACAAAAAAAAAAAATCAGGACTCCTTAGATAAAAGCTGAAGCCAGAGTAATGAGGGTATAAGATCAACTTAGAACACCTGCAACCAAAAAAAAAAGGGGGGGGCATTCTCAAAAAATAATGGTAAAGAAGTCAGCTTGAAGGGGCTTCCAGTGGCCAAATCAAAGAAAATTTAAGCATCAAAACAAATAGTAATATCAGTAGACTATGTTCCATTGACTACAGAGTGGGGCAAAAGGAGGTTTACAGTTGTGAGTGCATGAAACACAGGGTTTATTCTTGTGCTATTATTGATTAATTATTGTATTATTTTCCATATGAACAACTATAAACCTATTTTTCCCGTACCCTTTTGCCCCCAAATAGTAATCCATTAGTCCACAAAATTTAAAGAGAGAGAGATGAAAAGAGAAATCTCTTTCTTAAAGTAGAATGCCAGGGCCTAAATGTAGAAGAAATAATCTTATTAAAAACTGAGGCCCGGTGCAGGAAATTCCTGCATGGGGGTTGGGGGTCCCTCAGCCTGGCCTGCACCTCTCCAATCTGGGACCTTCGGGGGATGTCTGACTGTCGGTTTAGGCCCGATTCCTGCGAGATTGGGCCTAAACTGGCAATTGGACATCCCTCTCTCAATTTGGGACCACTGGCTCCTAACCGTTCACCTACCTGCCTGCCTGATCGCCCCTAACCACTTGCCTGCCTGCCTGATTGCCCCTAACCGTCTCTGCCTGCCTGTCTGATCGCCCCTAACCCCTCTGCCTGCCTGCCTGATCATCCCTAACCACTCGCCTGCAGGCCTGATTGCCCCTAACCACCTCTACCTCAGCTGCTGCACCTGGGACCTGGGCTTCCTTCCCTCTGGCTGGCTGCAGGCACCTGGGACCCTGGCCAGCTTTGCCCGGGGCCTGCCGCAGGCACTGGGGACCCGGGCCGGCTTCGCCCAGACCCTGGCTTTGTCAGGAAGGACGTGCGGAATGATGTCCGGTCTATCTGGTCTAATTAGCATATTACCCTTTTATTAGTATAGAATATTTGTCATCCACTGGAGTAAATTATTAATTCAGGCAAGAAACCTCAATGGATGCTAAATAAGGGTAAAAGTAGATTAAATAATAGAATTTTTACATGCAGTCTCAAAATACTTAGTAAATAAAAATGGGGTAAAATAACTCTAGAGGAGAAAACCATGGCAGACATTCTCTTAAGTGATCAATTTGATACCACCAAAATGGAAAGTATCAATACTGTATGAAACCTAATAGAAAAAACACTGAATTATTTCCGTGACAGTCCAGACAAATCAAATACATACATATATATATATATATATATATATATATATATATATATATATATATATATAATATGGGTTGAATCATGAGG